GTTCTTAGCTTTTTTAATGTGATGGACCTCATTGGATAGAAACCCCTTCTAATTTATAAAACCAAAAGTTCCTATTGTAAATTTCAGGTTCTACTAAAATTCTTGGTTTAATTAGCTTCAAATTCACTCTAAATGGAATAATAGTACATTAACAAACAATTGTATTTTTGCTCTGATTCATATGAAGAAACTTGGAGAAACAACAGACCAAATTTCCTGGTTTGCCATGTATTTATTTCTATGAGGATTTATTTTTTAGTCCATTCAATAAACATTTATTGAGTGCCTACTAGTCAGGCACTGTTCTATGTGCTAGAGTTACAGCAGAGAAGAAGGAGAAAGATAAAATACCTGCTTTTATATAGTTTATATTTCAATTTAGTAGGTCAGAGAAAATAAATGAATAAATAAATATGATGAAATAAGTGCTAACAATTATAAAAGCATTATCTGGTAGCAAGTAACTGGGAGCTACATTTGGTGGTCCCTCGGTATCTTAACAATTCCATCTGGTGGAGTGTGTATGCTGGTCTGAAAGTGATGCAAGAACAGAAACAACCAAACCAAATTAATAACTCTGAAGAAGTATTTTATAGACAGATGTTTACTTTTTACATGCAAAGAGAGGCTGACTTAATCCATCAAATTTCTAATAAAAAATAACAGAGAGCATCAGAACCCTGAGTTGCTTCCACAATTATTACTATTCAAAAATGTTTATAACAGAAAACAGAAATTTTGTAAACTATAAAAGAAAAATTGCTTCATCTTAATAAAAGGTATCTAGAGGCATGCTGCCTTAATATTTATACTCAGGGTAACAATTAAAAACACCAATATAACATTTTTAGCTTATTTCACAAGTCAGAGGACAAATATTTCTCCAACAAGAAGTATACCCTTAGAAAGAAAGTACTCAAACAAGCAAAAAAAAAAAAAAAGACTAAGAGCCTGCAATAAGCACAAACAAGGGAAGACAGGAAGAAGAGAGAGATACTCATTAGGCAGTCAATACAGGGGGAATGGAACTGCATTAGAAGACAGCTAGGAAAAAGGGATATTTGGTTCTAGTCAGTGTATCTAGGGAAGGTAGTGATGACAGTAGAGTTACAACTGGAATATGTTAGAGATACTCCGTCCTCTTCTGTTACCTCAAAAGTAATGGCTAGGTACCCGTAATTTTTCCTCACATCACATGACAGTATATCCAGATAAGTTACACTAGCATAAGGAGAAAGAAATCAGATATTATAGTCATTTGGAAAACTCAGTAATAGAGAAGAACTGTGGTTGAAAATAACGACATTACAACATTTCTCTTGCACTGGCAGCAGCCCTGGTGGCACAGTGTGAAGCAATCAGCTGATAACCACAAGGTCAGCAGTGCAAATCCACCAGCCACTCCTTGGAAATCCTGTGGGGCAGTTCTATTCTGTCCTATAGGGTCGCCATGATTTGGAATCAACTCAACGGCAACAGATTTGGTTTTTTTGTTTTTTGTTTGGCAGGAACTGAGCTATTAAACAGAAGTGACTGATCCAGATCATTCAAACTGAGGTTCAACACCAAAGTTTTTTTATTAGAGCACTACCAAAAAAAAAAAAAAAGACTAATATACATCCTTCATAAATATTCTCTACAAATAGTATTTTAAATCATCAATTTTCTATACCTCTTAGAGTATTTTTAATTGTATGTATCACTTAGAAAATGGATATAATTATCAAATTGAAGAGAACATTTTAATGAACTACGGGATAAATTAAATTCCGTTTCATTGCAAAAACATATAAGGGAAGATATAATTGAGAAATACATTTATTTATAAATACAGACTCTGCAATAACAGAACACTAAACAGTCACAGTAAGTCATAAGTATAATTTATGATTTTTTAGTCATAATGTATTTCCCATAATCAATAATAAGCTAATGAAAACAGACTGCTATATGTTATCTGGAAAGGTAAGAAATTATCTATTGATTTTTTTTACAATAATTTTTGAAGAAAATGACTTTTACAGTACAAAATAAAAATCCTATAATTTTTTTTTTTTTTAACACACAGGTTTAAAAACAACTAAATATGGATGACATTGATACACAGGCCAACCCAGAGTTACATAAAAGAAGGCAGGTCAGTGAGCAGGTGTCAAGCCAGAAGGTCTAATACTCACAGTGTCTGCATCTGCTGGCATGGCTGGTTTTCCCCACTCTCTTCTGTCCTCTTTCCCCTTGGTTTACAGCAAAAACCAAGCTAAAATGCTCTTTTCACTTCACAACCACTGCCTAACTTTCTCCCTAGCTCAGAAATAGTCTACCTCAAAAAAATGTTATCAATCTAAAAAAAATTAAGTAATAATATATAATCAGGTCAATGGCAGAACAAGAGTCTCACGTAGGTTGATGAGCATCTAATTGAAAACCTTTTGTAAACAGAGCCATGGTCTTTTGGGACAGTCCAGTTAATTGGCATAATGTATTTCTAAAGTTTTTGTTCTACCTCCTGGTATGGTGAGTACTGTCTAGGGTCTTAAAGGATTGCAAGTGGCTATCTAAGATACAACTATTGGTCTTTATTTGTCTGGAGCAAAAGGGAAAGAAGGAAACTCAAGAATCAGAGAAGGAATTGGACTACAGGGCAAACTGTCTACATGAACTACTGCCTCCTCCACCTTGAGACCAGAAGAACTAGATGGTGCCTAGCTACTACTATTTAACATTCTGATCAGGGACACGATAGAGGAATCTTGATAAGAAGGGAGGAAAATGTGGAACAGACCTTCAAATTCTTTTTTTTTATTGTGCTTTAGCTGAAGGTTTACGAGCAAATTAGTTTCTCATTAAATAATTAATACACATATTGTTTTGTGACACTGGTCGCCAACCCTGCAACGTGTCAACACTCTCCCCTTCTCGACCTAGATTCTCCCTTTCCATTCGTCCAGCTTTAGTGTCCCCTCCTGCCTTCTCGTTCTTCCCCCTGGGCTGGTGTGCCCATTTAGTCTCACATACATTGTTCAGCTATGTGCATTACTGTTTGTTTTATGGGCCTGTCTAATCTATGGCTGAAGGTTGAACCTCAGGAGTGACTTCAGAACTGAGTTAAAAGGGTGTCTGGCAAGAACTTCAAATTCTTAAAGAATCCAGACTTACTAGACCTACTGAGTCTGGAGGAGTCCCCAAGACTATGGCCCTGAGCTGTTCTTCAAACTTTGAATGTAAATATCCCCTGAAGTTACCTTTAACATAAGTAACAGCCCAAAGAGTAAAGATTGTCACCATTGAGCACTGTGTTTCTTAAAAAAAAGAAATCTATATAAGACCAAAGGGTCAACAGCTATTTTAAAGCACAGACGAGAAGGTTGTGGGGTAAGAAGAATAAATAAATGGAACAACTAGAACAGAAGTAACGAGAATGTTGATACAATGTGAATAATGTAATCAACATCATTGATCATTATCTCTAGAAACTGTGGAATGGAAGCAGGTTTTGCTGTGTATATATTCACCAAAAATAAAATAAAATTAAATAAAACTTCTGTAAATAGCCATTTCACAGAATGCATCAAAAACCTACAACTGTCTATATTCACAAGGTGATTGTATTTCCTGGTGAATATATCCAAAGGACATAATTAGAATTATAATCAAAGATTTATCTGCCCAAGATATTGGTTGCAATAACATTTGTGACAGAGCAAATTAGATACAATCAAATATCCAATAATAAGGGAAAGATTAAATAAATTATATCACTTTCAAAGAATGTTATATTATACACCCAATTAAAATGACACATTCAAAGACTACTCTACAACATGGGAAACTGCTCATAATATAATGTCAATTTAAAAAGTGGGGAAAAAACACAGAGTTCTATATACCCATTTAGACTAGAAAGAAAGGTGAAAATGTTGACAGTGATTATTTCTGAATGGGGGATGGCAGCTAATTTTTTCTGTATATTTTTATATTTTCTACAATCAGAATATACTACTTCCAAAATAAAAGAAATATAATAGAAGAAATATCAAAAATTGTATTCAAAGAAAATCCTATTAAATGAATTATTTAAGATACTATGGACAATTATCAATGAAGATAGTTTTCAAAACCAATCTATAAAAACTACTAGAGCTTTTTATAATATACTATAAAAATATCTGAACTTTTAATAAAGTATACAGCTAGAGACATAATAAAGAGTCATTAAATTTTATAATGACTTGGTTAATATTCTTTGTTCTAAATTTATCTTTCCTAGGAGGAAGCAGACCAAGAAATAAACATGAAAAAAATTTACTTCATATCATAGCGTCGTGGCACAGGAAGGACAAAAAACCATATTTCTAAAACAAAATATTATAACTAGCACTATTTAAAAAAAAAAAAAAAAGTTGTTTGATTGTGTGTATTTTCACCACAATCAAAAAAAAAAAAAAAGAGTAAGAGTAGGAACCTGAGTGTTACAGATGGGTTTTAACCACATTTATAGTGATTAATGTCTAACTAAAAATGCTCTTGAAAGATTCCTCAAAAAGCAATAGAAAATCTTTTAAATTGCATTCATTTTATTTGTTCTCAGTATTTCCTAGTCCTCAAAATTGTATTGTTTATGTATGTATATATGTGTATACTATACAATCTTATAGAAATATAACTCTAAAAGCAATTTCAGCCTTGTAAGTTCTACTGTCAATATACCTACAAAGAGAAGACTCATTATTTAAGCATTACTTTACATTTTACATTGTTGTTTCAGCGTTACTTTACATCTTACATTGTTGTTCCAATCCTGTCCTTTGAATTAAATTTTCCAATCTTTGCTTTCATACCTATTAGATTAATATGTAAGTTGGTTTTTATCTAAACTAAACTGCAGACATACTTACCTTCCAATTTTCAACTATACTTCAAGGAGTAAATTCAAAAGGTAGACTTTTTAGATTTTAGGTCAAATTAAAATTACAGTTACTACTCTGATTTTTCATAATTACCTTGTCTGGATCCATCTTTCCTTTGATAAATTCTTGCTTCCAAAATTGCAATGCCTGTTCCAATGTTAAACCAATGCCCTTCAGGAAAAGGCCATACTGCATTCGGCCTCCATGACGAAGATGGTGATTTTCCCGTAAGGCTTTATGTAACTGACGCATGCAGGGTGGGAAAGATTTGGTAGAAAGCTACAAGAAAAAAACAGCTTTGGGTTATTTAGAAGATTTACTAGGTCCCCATAATACTTGTTGTGATTACAAATTCAGTCTAAGTGGAATAAAAACAAAAACTATAGGGAGGTATTACTTTGTTATGATTATAGATGAACTTTTTTTCTTAACTTTTTTTATGTTGATTATATGTTGAAATGATAATATCTGTAATGTCGTTATTGTTGTTAGGTGCCATCAAGTCAGTTCCAACTCATAGAGACCCTACGTACAACAGAAGGAAACACTGCCCAGTCCGGGGCCATCCTCACAATCTTTGCTATGTTTGAGCCCAATATACCGAGTTAAGTAAAATATATTAAAATTTGTTACACCTGTTTCCTTCTTTTTACCTTTTTAAGTTAAACTTTTTGTTTTGGGATGACTGTCGATCACATGCAGTTGTAGGAAATAATACAGTGAGATATCATGTACCCTTTACCAGTGTCCCCCAATGGTAATCTCATGATGCTAGGAGCCAAAATGGGGAGAAATAGCTGGATCTTCCATATGTTCAGAAGACAGAACCAACAAGACTTACTGGTGATTGGATTTAAGGTGTGAGAGAAAAAGAAGAGTCATATAGGTTTTCGGTATGTTGAGGTTTTTGGTATGCAAAAGTTGCATGCTTCAAACTAAGATTTTAGAGATGGTGTATTTATTGGGTTTGAGTGGTCTACGGTTGCCTGAAACAAAACAGGAAACGATTGTGGAAACTGAGCAGACAAAGAAATTGTAAGGCTAGAGTATGAGATCATCAACATGGATGTTGCATAGGCCAAGAACAATAACAGAGTACTGCTAGTGCATCAGCCAGGTGTTAGAGTCATCAGTAAATAATAAGGGTAGTTGGGGCGAGAAAGGGAGCAGCAACACAGGGAGGTATCAGGTGGTATAATGTGATCATATGGGCTTTCAAGGAGCTGGAGCTCTGGCAATGGAGGGCGAAGAAATAAGTTAGAAGTGGCAATGTGGACTAAGGAAGACACTTAACCCACACCTACAGAGTGTGGAAGAAAAAGCACTCTCTCTACTTGAAGAGGGCCACAAGGAAAACAATGTTGTCGAGAGAGCCAGTTTTCAGTTAGAAGAAAAATCTAAAGAGAACATTTGGAGAAGAAATTGAAAATATCGAGGGGTGTGCAAATGATAAGCTGTTGTGAAGATCGGAAGATACAAATACAGACATTGAAAGAGATCCAGATAAAGAGACATCTGTATCACTTAGCTCAGAGTTTCAGGCACAGACTCACAGACATGATTATCCCATAACACCATAATTTATGGTTATATTGCTCACTTATTATTTACTACACTGTCTACCTCCCCCAAGTAAGGTCCATGAAGGGAGGGACATTTTCTGTTTCATTTACCTCTAAATTTTCCAGCAAGGAGCCCTGGTGGCCCAGTGGTTAAGCACTTGGCTGCCAACCGGAAGATCGGTGGTTGGGACCCACGAGCCACGCCATGGGAGAGAGATGTGGCAATCTGCTTCCATAAAGATTTACAGCCCTAAAAACCCTATGCGGAGGCTCTACTCTGTCCCATATGGTCACTATGAGTCAGAATGACTCTATGACAAAGGGTTTGGTTTTGGTTTGGTATTTACAGCACAATTTTAAAAAAAAACCATTGCTGTCAAATCAATTCCAACTCATAGCAACCTTACAGGACAGAGTAGAATTGCCCCATAGAGTTTCCAAGGAGCAGCTGTTGGGTCCAAACTGCCCACCTTTTAGTTAGTAGCCAAGCTCTCAACCACTGCACCGTGAGGGCACCACAGCACAATAGTTGGTCCATTATGGATGGGCTTTGTATATATTCATTAAACGAATTAATGATTAAACTTCTATGTCCATCCACAGTATCCAATCAAGTTCACCTTTGCTTGTAAATAGGGAAACCATTTAGACAGAATTTGGAAAAGAATCAACCTCTGATCATTCATATAATATAAAGTATATAAAAATCATATGGGGGGAAAGAGAGAGAGAATACACTGTTTGAGAATATTAAAGGATGGGACATATAAGAACAAGTCTTCAAATTAACTGTGTAAGGTAGGCAATCCTATTGTTATTTCTAGACATACTAACTATAAGCACTTGATCATAACAAATAAGAAAAAATATTCATTCTAGTCTCTAAAAATTCATGGTCTTTCTGTACTTACCTTATTATAATTCTTATTTCCAAGCATTAAAATCTCAGTGTATTTTTAAGTTACTGTAAACAATTTGGTAATTGTCTAAACAAAGATTATTTATGGCTGGCTTATTTTTCCCCTTTTTGGATGGAGTGGAAGTTCAATTATGTAGTAAAGAGAAATTCTACAAATAAAAGTATTGTCAAGTGTGCCAATCTTTCATTCCACTATGACACCACAAAGTGAAATGAAGTCGAAATATGCTATTCATTGAGTGGCAACCCAGGGATGGAAGCCTATACTTAGTATTTTCCATTTCTCCTTTTCTAAGTGTATACGGCATTTAAATATAAACATAAACACCTTTTAGCTATTATTACTTAAAAGTATTCCCTTTGGAATAATTGCTTAAATTCTGTTTTTATCAGGCCCACAAACAATTTTCTGATTAAATCTGCCTTTGCTATGATTTAAAAAACATGGGATTTTTCTTTAAAAATGATTGACAAGCAATGAAATAACATTCTCTCCCTTCTCCCCATCCAAAGCTCATCTTTGGCTGAAGAAAATCTGTGTTTCCTCCATTGACAAAGGTCTAGGTTTAAAAGGATGACTGATGCTTACCGAATCGATCTGATCTAAAGAAATCTTCCCAACATTTCCCTGTGTACTGTAATCTTGACCAGTGTATGAATGACTACGAAAAAGAACAAAATATTAAAACAAGATTGGTAAAAAAAATTTTTGGAACACTTGAATTTTTTTTTATCCTGACAAAGATTAAAGTCAGAATGAGAAAATATTTAACACACAAATCTTAGCAGAAACATAGCCAAATATTTTGAACGTATTTAATATAAAAATTAAAGTAACTTACACCAAAGTAATTAAAAAATATAGTGACAGTCTGGACTTCCTGATTCCTACTCTAGTGTTACTTCCATTTCTTAGAAACATAATTCAAATTGTTGTTAAAGTTCAAACTATTTACCCTCTCAGGCCAGCAAAGAAGAGACGAGCTAAATTAGGAACCATCTTAATTGTGGTAGGTCCTTGAGCAAGTTACTTATGATTGACTCTCAGGTTTCTTATCTGTCAAATGGAGATGATAATGCCTGCATTGCAGGGTTGATGGGAGGTCTAAATTGAAATAATTTTTGTAAAGGTCCTGACATGCAGAATTCACTATTTGGTAAATAATTTATGACTAGCAGTCAGATATTACAATGGGCAAAAAGTTCTCATCTATATCTTTAATTAGATCCTTCCAAGGAGCCTTGGTGGTTGCTAACCAAAAGGTTGGCAGTTTGAATCCACCAGCCTCTCCTTGGAAACCCAACGGGGCAGTTCTCCTCTGTCCTATAGGGTCGCTATAAGCCGGAACCCACTCAGTGGCACATAATAACAACAAACAACCCTGAGAGAGCAGTTTATATTTGGCAGATGAGGAAATGGAGGCTCGGGAGTCAGAAACTTGATAGGATCAGAAAGCAAGTCAGCAGTGCAGTGGGGCTCAGATATTTTGATTCCCAGTGCTTTGTTTCTTCATCCTACCATGCCATCCCCTTCTCTATAATAAATTTTGCTGTATTATTGCTTATAAATTAGAAACTATAACTCGGTACCTACCATCTAAAACCCTCCATTTTTGTAATTTTTCAGCTTCTTGACACAATATCTATGCCTAACTCCATAAACACTAATTCAGATGCAGTCATTCAGGTGTGAGACAGCTAAAAACAACTGCTAGAAAACCACAGTCAAACCATGGTTTATACAGACCCCACAACTAAAGGGAGAGCCTGGAATGAAGTGTCATTACAATCCTAAAGAATTCCAGACTCTCTCTACTGCTGAGTACACATTCTCACTGCTGAACAATATAAATATACATACTCAAGATGCCCTGTAGCAAGGCTGTTGTTTCTACGACCAATCAATTTTACTGATTAAACCAGAGGTATGGACTATGAAGCAAAACTATAGTAGTATCTTGGGAGAGGTAAGAATGCTACACCTACTGGCAAGAAGACTATTATAAATAAGACTGTAGATTTCTCCTACTCTTAAAAACGTTCTCCTCCGCCACCCAGTGGGCTAAGGGAGTCAGAGAATTGTTTGTAGAGCAGGATGAGAACACAAAGGAGTGACGCAGAATGATCCCACACCTTAAAACACGTCCCCTTGTCTCCTATGATTTCTCCCTCAAGCAACAATTTTCTGCCAATTGATGTATCATTTGATTCTTCTATCCATTCCATTAATCGTGTTAGTATTATACATACAAAACACATGCTAAGTTAAGCCAACACTTGCCATTTAATTTTAGTATTTTAAATTTTAATATAGAGCATAACCAGAGAATTATTTCAGTGGAATCCCAAGACTAAAAATATGTTTCACTTTGCAATACCTTACAGTGAAGCAAAGACAGCAATAGAAAGAGCAGCAAGCTAGAAGTCTGAAGACCTGTTTTGTTTTGTTTAAATCACTAGCTCCACAAACTGTGGCAAGTCACTTAACCTTCCTGATTTGCACTATCCATGTCTGTAAAATGGCACCAATAATGCCAGGTGTGCCTAATCGACAGACACGCTGGGGAAATGAAATGACATAATATATTCAAAGTGCTAATTAAAATCAGTAAAGTATATTCCAGTATATAGAGCAACTGTGGTCTTGACCAGTAAGTACAAAAATAACAGGATGGGAAAAGTGGTAGCATGATCCTGCCGAAAACCCATCATCCAGCTGGGAAGTACTAGGCCCCTCACTGACCCCCTAAGCCTCAACTTCTCAGTCTATAAATTGAGTCAATAAGTGAGTACAGTGATTTAAAAGGATTGCTCAGACCAACTAGATTAACAAATGTAAAAGTCCTCTACAAAAGGTAAAATGATGTTCAAGCATGATTATGATTACTGAGTAAATGGGGTCAAATGATTACTGTACTCCAAGGAAGTTATTTTCTGCCCAGATTAATGCAGTATATTCATAATTGTGAAACATTAACAGAAGCTCAAAAATCAAGGTAGAGGAAAATGGAACAAATAATGCTTCTATGAAAAGATAAAAATCCTTAAGAACAATTTATGTTAGCTCAAAAAACTATCTTTGGGTTTACCTGGAAATTCCATGGGATGCTACTAAAGGAGATTCATAACAGGTACCTGGAAAAGTCAGGTACCTTTCCAACACATTCAGAGCTCAGTATCAGCTTTATATCACACTGCTTCCAAATGAATGCAGCTGATACTCTAATGAGCCGTCAAAATATATTATTTATATGATCAAAAAAGATCAATTTTTTTAAGTGAACATTTGTTAATGATTATTTTATTGGGGAAACACACCTTGCTTGGAAATACAGAAACAGTAATAGGTCATTTTTGACAGTAAAAACTATTTCTAATTGGTTCAAGATACACATATTAACACATGCAAATCCAGCAGAAAACACTGTTTTCTATCCATTTAAATCACTGCTTTATTTTGAGAAACACTCACTGTCACCAATGTTCATTTTTTAAAAAGGGCTTTCTGTATAAGACAGAGGGCCCCAGGCTGCGGAAAACTCCACTGCCTCAAGCAGCTTCTTTGGCATGCCCCATAGCTTTACATTAACATCCTGGTTCCTCTTTTCCTTAACTACTGCTCAGAACTAGAGGAAATAAGTAGAAACAGGTTTAGGCGCTATGCTGACATTCTGGATAACCTTTTAGCTCATTAAATGCCTCACACATAGTAACTTGCCCACCTTTGGGTGGCATTTAACTGCCATTTTCTGGACATGCGATGCATGTAAACCCCATTGCACCTGCGTAGTATGATTAAGAATGTTGCTGATATAACTTGTATGAACTTCCTGCTTGTAAACCCTATAAAAGTTAACCTTCCTTCTCGTCCTCGCTTTGCAGTCTTGGCAGCAGCAGCCCCAACTGTTCCTTTCCTTGCACAATGAAATAAAATCACCTTTCTGATCTTCTATCTTGGTCTCTCATTTATTGGCTAAGACGAGATGCACTGGGCACAACCTGGGGTTTCCACCTGGCAAGAAGTATGCATAAAAGTTTCTTGCTTCTGGACTTTCATAAGAAAATAAAGTGAGATATACTACAAATGCCACTGTTTTCAATAGAGCAGACCAAAAAACATTTTAAAGGGTTACATAATTCAAATTGTCATGAATCAGTATTTTGCCATATACCTAAAGAAAAAAGTGTGACTGAACAATCAAGATTTGATTTATTTAGTTTTCAGTTTAGATTTACCACAAATATACCAGGAAAAAAATTTTACAAACAAACCAGACTTCTGGCAAAATGGCGCTCTAGGCAGAAGCCCCACGCCGTCCCTCCACAGCAAAGATCCGAAAAACTAAGCCGAACAGAGAAAACAACAATCCTCAAACCCTAAAACATCAAATAAAGAGATAAAGAACTAGGCAAGCACCAAATGGAGTGAGAAAACTGACAGAGAACGGAGAGCGAGGAGAGATTCACGCAGACGTCCCCTACCAGCTAATGCAGCGCGGATCTGCCAACTTGAACTGCTATCGGAGACCAGCAAACGGGGTACGAGAAAACAGCTTCACGGAGCTTCCAGCGGGAGACAAAATAACCGGTAATTTGGGATATATGCTTTCCTACCCCCCACCCTTCTTCACCCCCACTCGGCCTCCTCTGCTTCCCGTGGCCACAGTCTCTTGACCAGGAAACACCGACTGCTTGGATTCCACGCACCCGAACGGGCCGACTCTCTGAGTGCCATTTGTTGGCTGCTGGTGTTGCTTTTTTCCGCTTCTTTTGATTTCTTCCTTACCTCTCACCACCTCCCCATCCTTTCACTCAAATACCTGGCTCCAAGCGTCATCTTTGCTTCTTCCTGAGGAGCTGCAGAGCTCTGGTAATTTGTGATATACGCTTTCCCACTCCCTACCCTTCTTCACACACGCTCGGCCCCCTCTGCTTCCCGTGGACACAGTTTCTTGTCCGAGAAACACAGGCTGCTTAGATTCCACCAGTCCACACTAGCTGGCTCTCTGAGTGTCATTTGTTGTCTGCTGGTGTTGCTTTTTTTTCCGCTTCTTTTGATTTCTTCCTTACCTCTCACCACCTCCCCCTCCTTTTGCTCAAATACCTGGTTCCGTGCGCCATCTTTGTTTCTTCCTGAGGGGCTGTGGAGCTCCATTCGAGTGTGGAGCTGCTTCCTGGTCTGGGCTGCCGCACTGGTGGGATCCCGGGGCTTTTGTTGGTTTGTTTGTTTTGAATTGTTTCTTTGTTTTCTTTTCCTTTTCTTGAGTTGGGAGGCCTCTCCGGCCAGGCGGTGCTGCGTGGCAAGGAGATTACCCCCTCGGCTTGCACAGACGTGCAGAGGGATCCCTGAGGACATTTCTTTTTCCGCTGTTTTTTTTTTTTCCCATTTCTTTTTCTGTTTTTTGGGGTGGTTTTTCTTGTTCTTTTTTTTTTTTAAATCTGTTTTGCTTTCTTTTCCCTCTTTCTCCCTTTTTGTCTTTCTTCATTACTCAGTTTCTCATCTCTCTATATCTTCCTTCTCTTTCTGTTCCCTGAATACTTGGTGTTGTATACCTCTATGCCTTCTAGCCAGGCCGTACTGCAACACCTGAGAGCAACTTCCCCAGACCTCACAGCTGCACCGGTGGGATCCCCGGGAACTTTGTGGTTCTTTAACCTTTCC